TTAACCAGGCTGGTCTTGAACTCCTGACCTCAAGTGATCTGCCCACCTTGGCCTCCCAAAGTGCTGGGATTACAGGCATGAGCCACTGTGCCTGGCCTGATTCCACATTTCTTAGAAATTTTCTTTGGCTGCTTTTAACTTCCTAGCGCATGTTATAATCATTTATATATCTTATAGCATATTATAAGCTTCATAGGGTAGCATTCTAATTAATATTTGTATTTTCACCGAGTCTGGCATGTAATTTATGGCTTACTTCCCATATGTTACTTTATCATAAATATATGATGAAAAAAGAACGACTGGTTTATTTATTACCTAGGTGGCACTGATAAGAACAAAGATTGGCTTATTTGAAAGTTGTCTGTTTGATGTAATGGGTTATAATGTCCCACTATCGCTTGCGAAACCAAGTGTTATTTTTTTTGTAAAATAAAAAACATATAATTTGAAAACAGTATAAATTTTTAGTTATTTTTATAATTATAAAATGTTTATTCCAAATACAATTACTAGTATTGTTGAGTGCTAGTTACTAATAGTTCATTACTTTAGTCTATTAGGTTGAGCCATATAAAAATTGCCGTTTTTTAGTTCAAAATCAGTCAGACATTGGCATTTTCATGTAGTTCAACCTAACATATGTAAAAACCTTCTCAAAGTTTTTATCAGCATAAAGGTCAGTATTTCTCCAATATGTAGACTAGCCCATATACTCCAGACCTACCTTATGTCTTGCCTTGTACATATTATGTGCTCAATAAAAATTCCATTGAATGCCTGAAAACATAAAACTGTTATGTAATAACTGTATATTGCCTGTGATAACATCCAAAGTCTGTTTTTAAAATTTCATCATACTTTGACATCGGTGCAGATCTTCCAGAAATTTCTGTGGGAAAATTCAGTTAGTTTTAAAATAAAACACTTACAAGTGCTGTTTCTTGCATGTTGAACTGAAATAGTGAAGAAAGGAGTATTTCCAAAGACGTAAAATAATGGAACTACTGTCATTTTGCATGACAATGAAATAATAAAAGAAGTAGCTTAATTGAAGAGTAATACGATATGGTTTACTTAATATTTATACTTTTACATTAGAACTTCATTGAAATAAGACACTTATTATTTTTATTGTCCTAAAAGAGAGCATTTTAATGCCAATTATGTGCTAGGCAATATAATTTTAGTTTAATGCTTACAAAAGTTTTATATTTAAGATAGTGGTACCCCCATTTACATAGTTTATGCAAGAAATTAAGGCTTTCAGAAAATAGATAATTTGTCCAAGTTTATATATAATAAGATTTGGGCTTAAGTTTGTCTGATTGCAAAATACATTTATCCCATTAAATTATGAGCTTTGGAATACTTTTATTCTAGTCTAATTGCAAAGAAATACAGTCATGTATTGCATTACAACAGGGATACATTCTGAAAACTGCATCACTGGGCGATTTCATCACTGTACAGATAACATAAGAGTGTACTTACACAAACCTAGATAGTGCTAGGCTATATAGCATGTGGTAATAGCATGTGACTATGCTGAATACTGTAGGCAATTGTAACACAATAGTAAGTACTTGCATATCTAAATATGTCTAAACATAGGTATATGTAGTCCATTGTTGACCTAAATGTCATTATGCAGCAGTCTGGCCAGAAGTTATTTTCTAAATGACTGACTTTGGGAATATGAAAGAAATAGGACAAATTATAAATTTCATAAATTCGCAGTTATTTTTTCCTCGATGGTATATTACTGAGTTTGGTATTCAACAGAGTATATTTCAGCATACTTTTATTCCCCTTATCCCCAACCTCTATCTGCTTCTTTATTCAGGGTCATATAGTGTGTATTTGATTTATTGAAGTAATACTGCCATTATCAAGCCTGTCTCTTGGGTTCTAAGAGACGTTAGTCTCTAGGTTGATTGCGTGCTATTTTATTTCCAAAATAATAGTGATTAAAACCGATGCTTAAATAATATGCAAAGATTGTCCTTTCTTATGAATAAGTGCTTTCTAACGTGATGCTTAATCAATTTTTGTGTGTATGTGTGTGTGGTTACCAGTCTTTGACAACTAATGCAACTCTAAAAACAGGAGGTGCCATTAACTTTTGATAGTTCTTTTTATATTTTCTTAATTTTCTATAGCTACTGTAACAAATTATCACAAATTTAGTGGCATAAAACAACAAATTTATTATCTTATAATTTTGTTGTTATTTTGTCTGAAGTGGATCTTACTAAGCTTAAATCAAGGTGTTGGTAGGACTGCATTCCCATTTGGAGGATGTAGGGCAGAATATTTCCTTGTTTTTTCCAGCTGCTGGAGGCTACTCACACTTCTTGGCTCCTGATTCTCTTCCTTTGTCTTCTAAGCCAGCAATAGCAGGTCTAGCTTTTCTTACATCACATCACTCTGACCTCTTCTTCCTCCCTTTTCTACATTTAAGGACCCTTGTGATTACAATGGGGCCTGTCTGGATAATCAAGGATAATCTCTGTATTTTAAGGTCAAGTGATCTACAACGTTAATTCCATATGCTACCTTAAATCTCCTTTGCCATGTAAGGTAACATTAATAAGGTTCTGAGGCTTAGGACATTGACATCTTTAAGTAGGTCATTATTTGGCATACAATTCCTTCTGTCACCCACATTCAGTGTTACTGGAACTAAAGAAAGGTATGGCATTGCGTTGGTTCATTTGTGTTCCTGTAAAGGAGTATCTGAGGCTGAATAATTTATAAAGAAAAGAGGCTTATTTTGGCTCACAGTTCTGCAGCCAGTACAGGAAGCATAGCGCTGGCATGTGCTTCTGTTGAGGGTCTCAGGAAGCTTACAGTCATGATGGTAGATGAAGGGCAGCCAGCGTGTCACCTGGTCAGAGAAAACAAGCGAGAGAGAGAGGAGGAAGTGCCAGGCTCTTTTAAACAACCAGCTCAACAACCATCGTGAACTCATAGAATGAGAACTTACTCATACCGTGAGGGTAGCACCAAGCAATTCATGAGAGATCTGTCCTTGTGACCCAAATACCTCCCACTAGGCCTTGCTCCAGACACTGGGGAATACATTTCAAAATGAGATTTGGACGGACAGATGTCCAAACCACATCAGGCATTAATATTAGTTCACTTAATTCAGAGCTTTTTTTTTGAAATCTTAAGAGATGACAAAAGTCTGTACACTATAACTTTCTCCCCTGCTTTATTAAGAAGGGTCTCATTTTTTGACATTACAGTGTTTCTAGGGACCTTTCTCATTGTCACCAGTGTTGACATATGCTGTTTTCTACCTCTCTTAGCATAATTAATTGGAACACAAATACTATCTGTGATTAGGTTTTTAGGTTTAATTATGGAGGCATTCATTTCATACTGTGTTTCTGAGTCTGAGAGTTATTGATCATAGTAAAGGAAAATTCTTTTTATTTTATGTAAAGCAAAGATGAGAAAATTACAAATGTGAATTTGGATTTTGATTTTTAAAAAAATAGTAATAAGGCCCAGCACAGTGGCACCTGCCTGTAATCCCAGCACTTTAGGAGGCCAAGGCAAGTGGATCAACTGAGGTCAGGAGTTCAAGACCAACCTGGCCAACATGGTGAAACTCCATCTCTACAAAAATATAAAAATTAGCTGGGCATGATGGCAGCTGCCTATAATCCCAGCTACTTGGGAGGCTGAGGCAGACTCGAATGAACCCGGGAGGCAAAGGTTCATTGAGCAGAGACCGCACCACTGCCTTCCAGTCTGGGTGACAGAACGAGACTCTCTCAAAAAAAAAAAAAAAATAGTAATAAGATTCAAACCTACAGTATCTGTTAGCAGATAAATGGATAAAGATATTGTGTGTGTGTGGGGTGTGTGTGTGTGTGTGTGTGCGCGCGCCGATGTGTGTGTGTGCACATGCATACATATATATGTGTATATACACAATGAAATATTGTTCAGCTTTAAAAAAGGGATACTGGCCAGGCGCAGTGGCTCACACCTGTAATCCCAGCACTTTGGGAGACTGAGGCAGGTGCATCTCAAGGTCAGGAGATCGAGACCATCCTGGCCAATATGGTGAAACCCTGTCTCTATTAAAATATATAAAAAATTAGCCGGGTGTGGTGGTGCGCGCCTGTAGTCCCAGCTACTTGGGAGGCTGAGGCAGGGGAATTGCTGGAACCCAGGAGGCGGAGATTGCAGTGAGTCAAGATCACACCACTGCACTCCAGCCTGGCGACAGAGCGAGACTCCATCTCAAAAATGAAGCGGGGGGGTGGGTACTACCACATTGACAATATGGGTGAACCCAGAGGACGTTATACAAAGTGAAATAAGCCAGACACAGGAAGAAAAATGCTGTACGATCTCACTTATCTGTGAAATCCAAAAAAAAAAAAAAAAAAAAAACAAAAAAAATAGAAACAGAGAGTAAAATATGGTTACCAGCAATAGGGAGGAAGACGAAATGGGGAGAAGTAGGTCAAAAGGTACATATTTAGAGTTAGGTAGGATGAATAAGTACAGAGATCTACTATATAGCATGGACTGTAGTTAATATTATGTACTGAAAATATGCTAAGAGAATAGATTTTAAGCACACATAAAACCATACACATAAAAACGAGTAACTGTAGAGGGTGATGGATTGGTAAATTTGTTTGACTGTAATAATCATTTCACTATGTGTATGTATACCAAAACATCACGTACACCACAAATATATACAATAAAAAATAAATTTAAAAAAAACGCAGCTGTAATATTTACTTTTCTCCCATACTGTCTTAACTAATGGAGTTGTTTTTCCACAAACTTTACCCCGTTAAGTTTTATGGCTCTTTTTTTGTAAATCTATAGCATTATAATGCTAACAGAGTTCTTTTAACACTGTTTTTCACTTGCTGATATATCACATGATCTGTTTAGAAGATATGAAAATGTTTCATTTTTCCCTTTATTTGCTTTATTTTTCAAACTTATTTTTTAAATAGGATCGGAAACTTCATGGTACAGCTCAGCAACTGCTCCAGGACAGCAAGACAAAAATAGAAGTCATACGAATGCAGATTCTTCAGGCAGTCCAGACTAATGAATTGGCTTTTGATAATGGTGATGGAATAAATTGTCCTTCTCCTTCTTATGAGCATATGGTGCTAAATAATCTTATGTAGGAACAGGGCAGTGGTTCACAGTTAAGGGGGAGGAAGCATTATTATTACTATTTTTTTTTTTCATCTTGAGTTTTACACACTTAAGTTGGATAGATGCTTTAGATATTTGGCCCTTTTGTTTCAAGAAGATATTGATCTAGAAAGTATCTCTTCATTTAAATTGATTATCAAATACTTCTAGTCTTTATTTTTTTAAAAATTCTGTTTTCTGTTTAAGATTATGGCTTTGTTTTCTTTTGTTTTGTTCAATTCCAGAAGAAATCATTACAGCTAGTTGCTAAGAGTAGGAGTAGAAACTTTCAGTCTCCCCATATTACAATATTTGGATATCTTTCAGTTCTAAAATCTTTTTTTCAGATTTGTAATTTAGATGTGTAATGACAAAAATGAAAGGCTCTGAATTTTAACATATATCAACTATTATTTCAGTGTTTATTGATGTAAGGACTAACTTACTGTAATTTTGTAATAATTCATTTCTTTTCACAATTTTAATCACTACAAATTAGAAAGTCAAATAAATGGTGCAATTAAATTTTTCTTTTCCCTTCTAGCAAAACCTGTGATAAGTCCTCTTGAACTTCGGATGGAAGAATTAAGGCATCATTTTAGGATAGAGTTTGCAGTAGCAGAAGGTGCAAAGAATGTAATGAAATTACTTGGCTCAGGAAAAGTAACAGACAGAAAAGCACTTTCAGAAGTAATTTTAAATAAAAATTTTTATTTGGTTTAATAAATGCATTATTCAAAGTATATGATTATTTAAGTGACAACAATTGTCTTTTCCCTGTGCAAGGCTCAAGCAAGATTTAATGAATCAAGTCAGAAGTTGGACCTTTTAAAGTATTCATTAGAGCAAAGATTAAATGAACTCCCCAAGAATCATCCCAAAAGCAGTGTTATTATTGAAGAACTTTCACTTGTTGCATCACCAACACTAAGTCCACGTCAAAGTATGATATCTACACAAAATCAATATAGTACACTATCCAAACCAGCAGCATTAACAGGTATGTACTGTATATCCTTTCTTTTTCGTATTTTTGTCTATATCTGGTTCTGGTTTAGTAATTGAAAGAAAAACCTTTGCCTAGATTTTTTTAAATTATGATAAGATATACATAGAATAAAATTTATTGTTTTAACCATTTTGATTTTACTAAATTTGGAGGCATTTAGTATATTCATAATGTTGTGTGACCATCACCACTACCTAGTTTCAAAGCATTTTCATCACCCCAAAAGGAAACCCATAACTGTTAAGCAGTCACTCACCATCCCCGCTTCCTCCCAGCTGCTAGCAGCTACTAATTGTCTCTCTACAGATATGTTTACTCTAGATATTTCATATGATAGAAATTATATAATTTGTGATCTTTTTTGCCTGGCTTCTTTTACTCAGTGTTTTCAGTTAGTAAAAGCATATTGTTTTCAAGCTTCATTCATGTTATAGTGTGTATCAGTGCTTCAGTCACTTTGAATGTCTGAATAGTATTCCACTTGTGGGAATATTCCAAAATTCAAAAACCTTTTGTGCACCTAACCTGATGCTCAAAGGAAATTTTCATTTTGAAGTATTTTGGATTTGGGATTTCAGATTTCCAGATTAGGGATGCTTAACTGGTATGTATAATATAAACATTCCAAAATCTGAGCTACTTCTGGGCCCAGGCATTTTAGATAAGGAATACTCAACCTTTACCATATTTGGTTGATGTATTTGTCAAGCGTATGGATTCTTTCTACCTTTTGACTATTGTAAGTAGTGCTGCTATGAACATTTATGTGCAGGTTTTTGCTTGAACATCTGTTTTCAGTTTGGCGGTATATTCTTAGGAGTGTAATTGCTAGGTCATATGGCAGTTATGTCTAAGATTTTGAGGTACTGTCAAACAATTCTTCACAGCATTTATGCCATTTTATACTTCCAACAGTAGTGTATAAAGTGGGTTTCAGTATCTTCAGATCCTCACCAATACTTACTATTTTTCTTTCTTTCATTCTTTTTTGATCATGCTCTATTGTTTCCATTATTGGAAGTATGGTAGTATGTCTAACTGTTTCTGTAGAACTGTCTATATTTTTCCCTTCATTTATGTAAATTTTTGTTTCATATATTTGCGGGCTCTGTTGCTAGGTTCATGTATGTTTACAATTTTTACATCTTCTAGATGAATTGACTCCTTTATCTCTACCTTAACTCCTTTATAATGTCCTTCTTTGTCTCCTATAACAATTTTTTTTTTTTTTTGAGACAGAGTCTTGTTCTGTCACCAGGCGTCAGGCTGGACTGGAGTACAGTGGCGCAATCTCGGCTTACTGCAATCTCCGCCTCCTGGGTTCAAGCAATTCTTCTGCCTCAGCCTCCTGAGTAGCTGGGAGTACAGGCACACGCCACCACATCCAACTAATTTTTGTATTTTTTAGTAGAGACAGGGTTTCCCCATGTTGGCCAGGATAGTCTCGGTCTCTTGACCTCGTGATCTGCCTGCCTCAGCCTCCCAAAGTGCTGGGATTACAGGCATGAGCCACCACACCTGGCCTCCTATAACAATTTTTAATTTAAAGTCTATTTTGTCTGATCTTAAACCAGCTACCCCCACTTTGTTTTGGTTTTGCCTTTGGGTTCAAATGAGTCTCTTAGATGTATCCTGTTTTAGAAGATCCATTCCGTCAGTCTCTACTTTTTTTTTTCTTTCTTTCTTTTTTTGAGACAGAGTCTCACTCTGTCATTGTAGCTTCCCACTCTGAGGTTGAAGCAATTCTTGTGCCTCAGCCTCCTGAGTAGCTGGAATTACAGGCATGTGCCACTGCACCTGGCCAATTTTTGTATTTTTAGTAGAGACAGGATTTCACCGTGATCACCACACTGGTCCCAAATTCCTGGCCTCAAGTAATCTGCCTGCTTTGGCCTCCCAAAGAGCTGGGATTACAGGTGCGAGTCCTCATATCTGGCCAGTCTCTGCTTTTTAATTTAATAGTTTAAGACAGCTATCCAGGTTAGGTTGCATGCACCTATATTCCCAGCTACTCGGAGGCAGAGACAGGAGAATTGCATGAGCCCAGGAGTTTGAGGCTATAGTGAGCTGTGACTGAACCACTGCATTTCAGCCTGGGTGACAGAGCAAGACTCCATTTCTAAGAAAGAAAGAGAAACATTTAAGGTAATTACTGATAATGATATAATAATCCTGATGGTAACGACTGAGAGGTAGGTTAAACTTAATAGTTTTATAGCAGAGTCCCCCACAAAACTGCCCTCACTTTGTAAGCAAGCAGCAAACGGACTTTCCAAGGCCACATGTACTTCTGACCAACTGTCTACAGATTCCAGGACTTCTACTAGCATCTCAGCTCAGTAATTTGCTGGAACAAATTATAGAACCCAGGAAAGCTCTATACTTAGGATTACATTTTTATTATAAAGGATACAAATTAGGACCTTCATGGCTCACTGCAGGAAAAAGAAAATAAACATGAAGGACAAGATCTGAGAGGATCTCAAACATCACCCTCCTAACAAATGAATGTCTGTCACCAACCAGGAAGTTCACTTGAGCTTTGGGTGTGCAAAGTTTTCACTGGGGCTTTGTTACGTAGGTGTGATTCAGGTGAATAATTGGCCACATGATTGAATTCAGTCTCTAGCCTTCTGCCCCTCCCTAGGTCAGGAGGCCAGGCTGATATATGGCTCAAAGCCTAAACCCCCTAAAGATATGATCACTCCTTCTGGCATGGCCAGCTCCCATCCTGAAACTGTCTAGAGGCCCACCGTGAGTCACCTTATCAGGTGTGGTCTGAGGTGTCCACTATGAATAACAAAGGCACTCCTATCGGTAGGGGAAATTCCAGAGGTTTAGACTAAGAGTCTGCCTTCCAGAAACCAGGGACAAAAAACCAGCCAAATTATTATATAACAAAAGAGCTTGCTTCTGTCATTTAGCTGTTTTTTCTTTTCTTTTTTACGAGTATTTATCTTTTTTTTCTCTGAGTTCTAGTACTACCTTCTTTAGGCTTTGATTGAAATTTCTATTCTATTTTATTTATTTTTGAGACAGGATCTCTCTCTTGCCCAGGCTGGAGTACAGTGGTGTGATCATAGCTCCCTGTAACCTCAAACATCTAGGCTCAAGCAATTCTCCTGCCTCAGCCTCCTGGGTAGCTAGGAGTACAGGCACGTGCCACCATGCCTAGCTAATTTTTAATTTTTTGCAAGCAGCAGGGTCTCACTGTGCTGCTCAGGCTAGTCTCCAACTCCTGGCCTCAAGCGATCTTCCCACCTTGGACTCTCAAAGTGTTGGGATTATACAGGTGAGCCACTATGCCCAGCCTCTACTCTACTTTTTTTATTCCCGTGTCGCTCCCTGAGATTACGGGGGTGAGCCACTATGCCCATCTTCTACTCTACCTTCTTTTATTTCCTCGTAGCTCCCTTTTTTGAGATAGATATGTATATACATTCTTCCACCTCAGCCTCCCTAGTAGCTGGGACTGCAGGTGCATACCACCATGCTCAGCTTATTTTATTTTGTTTTATTTTATTTATTTTTTTGTAGAGATGGGGCTTCTCTGTGTTGCCCAGGCTGGTCTTAGACTCCTAGGCTCAAGCGATCTGCCTACATTGGCCTCCAGATTCAAGTGATTCTCCTGCCTTAGCCTCCTGAGTTGCTGGGATTACAGGTGCATGCCACCACACCTGGCTAATTCTTTTTTTTTTTTTTTTTTTTTTTTTTTTTTTTAGTAGAGATGGGATTTCACCATGTTTGTCAGGCTGGTCTCGAACTCCTGACCTCGTGATCTGCCCACCTTGGCCTCCCAGAGTGCTGGGATTACAAGTGTGAGCCACTGCACCTGGTCTAGAAGTATTTTAACTCTTAAGACATTTTTTTTTAATTCTTTAGGCTCCTACTGGACCATAAACTAAATTTTAAGTAACCAGGGAGAGAAATACTGTTGACATTAATAGAAGACTAGACATGATGAAAGATGAACATGGATGATTAATAACATCATTTGCTATTCTGAATTTTTCACTGCATGCTGCTATTTGTGGTTCATCTCATACTCTGGTTTCTTTTGTGGCTATATGATTATACTACTGAAATTTGCAGATTTGTTGCTACTTTGAATGAGGTATATTTTTTTTTTTTTAATTTTTTTTTTGCCTCACATTTTGAGAAATTTACTAATTTTTGTAAGAGGAGATTTCTTCAGAATTAAAGTTGCCTAATCATACCACGATGAAATACTGAATTAGTGAAATAGGTATAAAATAGTTTTCCACATAGTTGAAAGAAATTTCTAAAGCATTTACCTGTTCTAATGTAATTTGTAGTTAATACTTAGAAATACTAACATTTACTTCTTGGATTTGCTTGTTGAAAAGTTCATATTGTGGATTATGAAGATAAAGAATGTAGTTTTAAGCTATTTTTAATGTGTTTATATACAGTTGTGTCACCTCATACAGAAACTTGTAGATGTATGATGAAGATCTTAACTCCCTTTAGATTTTTTTCCTAAATGAAAGCAGATGTTGAACATTGTCATGTTCTGATATATTTAAATTACTAAAATATTTAACAAGCTATCATAGTTTGAAGTAGTAGCCAGATATTTTCAGTTTCCCCAGGATGCATTTTGTAGCTAGCATTTACAGTGGAAATTAGCTAAATTTGCCAATTTAACAACAACAAAACAAATAAGAAACAAACGCAACAATTTTATTTTTATTTTTTGATACAGTGTCTTGCTCTGTCATCGGGCTAGAGTACAGTGGCACCATCTTGGCTCACTGCGGCCTCCGCCTCCCGGGTTCAAGTGATTCTCCTGCTTCAGCCTCCCAAGTAGCTGGGGTTATAAGTGCTCACCACTGTGCCCAGCTAATTTTTGTATTTTAGTAGAGATGGGTTTCACCGTCTTGGCCAGGCTGGTCTCCAACTCCTGACCTTGTGATCCACCTGCCTCAGTCTCCCAAAGTGCTGGGATTACAGGCGTGAGACACCGTGCCCAGCCACAACAAATTTTTTGAACTCAAAATGATATTATACTTAATATGTTATTACCGTAATGTAAGATAAGATTTCCACAGTCTAACAAAACATGATTGGCACTCCACCTCCCAACGTTAATAGCCTTATTGAGGCATGGTTTACATACTATAGAATTCACTCATTTTAAGTATACAAAGTATGATTTTTTTAATAAATGTTTATGCTTATTTCACCATCAGTATCCAGTTTTTAGGGCAGTTTTATAGAGGAATAATTGGCATACAAAACCTATACATACACAAAGTGTATGGTCTGGCTTTCATTGTTTTGCATGAGAGATCTCCTGCCATCTTAATTTTTGTTCCTCTATATGTAATATGTTTTTTTATGGCTACTTTTCGTGGTTTTTGTTCATGACTCATTGTGAGAAATTGGATTATGGTGTGCTTTATTATGATTTGCTTCTGTTTCTTTTGTTTGGTGTTCATTGAACTTCTTGGATACTTCTTGGGTTTATAGTTTACATCAAATGGGGAGAATTCGTAGCCGTTTTTTTTTTCTAATATATTTTGTGTCTCCAATTCTTTCTGCTCTCAATGAGAAATTTCAATCACCCATATATGGTCACTTGAAGTTAAGTTCACAGTTAACATATGCACTGTTCTTTTTTTATTCCCAAGTCTTTCCTTTGTGACTTCTGTTTTTGATCATTTCTTTGTTATGCCTTCAAGATCACTAAGCTTTCTTTTGCAGTATTTATTCTGCCTCTAGTCCCATCCAGTGTATTTTTTTTAAATCTCAGATATTGTCATTTTTTAATCAGTAGAAATTTGGTTTAGGTCTTTTTTATTTCTGCCATTTTTCTGTGCCGCATTTTCAGTAGATGGACTGTTTTGGTGTCCTTGCCTGCTAACCTAATATTTGTGTCAGTAAGCCACTAAGCTTGTAATAATTTGTAATGCAACAATAGAAAAAAAATACACCTGGTAATCTATGAGTGGATGGCAGACATTGTGAATTTTACCTTGTTGGATGCTGAATATTTTTATATTTCTATAAATATTCTTGAGCTTTGTTCTAGGACATAGTTACTTGGAAACAATATGTTCCTTTTGGGTACTGCTTTTAAGATTTTTTATGTGAAACAAGCATCATTTACCTTAGGGGTAATTATTCTCTATGACTGGGGCAAGACTTCTGGATATTTTCTTTTTTATTTTTATTTTTATTTTTATTTTTAATAAAGATGGAGTGTCACCATGATGGCCAGGCTGGTCTTGAACTCCTGACCTCAGGTGATCCACCCACCTCAGCCTCCCAAAATGCTAGGATTACAAGCGTGAGCCACCGCACCCGGCGGATATTTTCTTCAATGCCTCATGAATTGAGATTTTCAAGCCTGGTTGGTGAGAACAAACACTATTCCTATCTATATGCACTGAGTATTGTTCTTTCTAACTTTTTCAGGTGGTTCTTTCCTCTGCCTCAGATATTTTCTTCGTAGACAGGTGCTGACTAGTATTTTGATGAATACATGAACACCCTCTGACCATCTCAGGAGCTCTTCTATGAACAGCTCTCTGCTTTATTCTGCCTTGTGAACTCTAGCTGCTTTGGTTTCCTTGTACTCTCATTTCTGTCTCCTCAACTTGGTTCCATCTGAGTTTCCCCCTCCCTGTGTGTGTCCTAGACACTCTTAAGACAGTAAGCTGGAACTTACTGGAACTGAAATGATCTCTTTTGTTTCCCATCTCTCAGAGATCGATGTTCTTCATTGTCTTTAACCTTTTTTTTTTTTTTTTTTTTTTTTTTTTTTTTTTTTTTGGGGTGGGGGGCAGTAGTTTGAATTGGGAAGCTTTGTTTGTTACTACTTGGATAGAAATACATAACTCCTTCAGTATTATTAAAAACAATTTAAAATTTTAAATAAAATCTAAGTAGTTGTTTAATGGGACAACTTTTACCAGAAATACCTCTCCTAAAATGTTATTCAGTGTACAGTATCTAAAATGTTAATACTAAAGCATTATTTAAATTCTAGTATACTATGTGTAGCCCAAATAATGACAAAGCCATATATCCAGATGACCCAACTCATAGTTCTCCATTTTCATTTTGAACGCCTTTAGTATTTATTTGCCTAAAGAAATTGAAGTTATTTTATGCTTAGATAATTACAACTCATAATTTTTTGGCTACTTGAACTAACAGAATGGAAAGATAATGTCGTTTTACATCTTTTAATAGAACATAAATTCATTTAGTTACACCAAAACCATGTAAAGGTCTTTTCTATGTTAACAACATAACTATTAAATGTAGTTGTTATTCACATAATGAGACTTCCTTATTTCTAATTTTCGTGTGCTATTTTAATGGCATATTATTTATTTAGCTTTATGTTTCTCCTTCCATATCTCTACCAACATTTTTTATATAACTTGTTTTGGTTTTTGTCCTACAGACAGCTGTGGGAGATGTTCTTTTTTTTTTTTTTTTTGGAGATAGAGTCTTACTGGAGTACAGTGGCACAATCTCAGCTCTACCTCTGCCTCTTGGGTTCAAGCCATTCTTGTGCCTTGGCCTCCCGAGTAGCTGGGACTACGGGTGCACGCCTCCGTGTCCAGCTAATTTTTTGTATTTTCTCTATTGAAAATACAAAAAAATTAGCTGGACATGGAGGTCTCACCATGTTGCCCAGGCTGATCTCAAACTCCCAGGCAGCCTATGCACTCTAGCCCCCCAAAGTGCTAGGATTACAGGCAAGAGAGCCACCATGCCCAGCCAGGAGGTGCTGTTCTTTTCTATAAAATTTCTTAAGTTATCTTAAGAATTTTTAATGGTTTCTCTAATTAAAATAAGAAAGTTGATGGCTACCTCACTGATGCTCTGGGAGAAGAGTTTTTGTTTTGAGATTTTTTTTTCTTTTCTTGAATAGGTAACAGATTTAGATTAAGGATTCCATAGATTAAGTATTGATGTTCCTATGTGATATTTATGTATGCTAACAGGTACTTTGGAAGTTCGTCTTATGGGCTGCCAAGATATCCTAGAGAATGTCCCTGGACGGTCAAAAGCAACATCAGTTGCACTGCCTGGTTGGAGTCCAAGTGAAACAAGATCATCTTTCATGAGCAGGACGAGTAAAAGTAAAAGCGGAAGTAGTCGAAATCTTCTAAAAACCGATGATTTGTCCAGTTCAGTAACCATATTTTTTAAAATCATGTGACAAACTGAAGTACTTACACAAGGGACTCATGAACGGGGACAGAGAAGAATGTGAAGTGTTCGAGTTGTACAAAACACTTTAAAGTTATGGTTTTTTTTTTTTTTTTTTTTTTTTTTTTTTTTTTTTTTTTTTTTTTTTTTTTTTTTTTTTTTTTTTAGTAGAGATAGGATTTCACCATGTTAGTAAGGCTGGTCTTCAACTCCTGACCTCAGGTGATCCATCCACCTTGGCCTCTCAAAGTGCTGGGATTACATGAATGCGTCACAGCGCCCGGTCCCCTGTAGTCTTTAAAATACATGCACACATAAATGTATTCCTTCATCCAGCTAATATATGCAATACAGGTTGAGTATCTCTAATCCAAAATCTAAAATACACCCAAATCCAAACATTTCTGAGTGTCAACATGGTACGCAAAGGAAATGCTCATAGGAATATTTTGGATTTCAAATTTTCTGATTGGGGATGCTTATCTGGTAAGTATAATGCAAATATTTCAAAATATGAAAAATTCTGAAATCCAAATACTTTTGGTCCCAAATATTTCAGCTAAGGGATCCTTAATCAGCACCTTTTCTAATGTGACACTGTATTAGGCGCTGAACTTGTATTTTCTTCTTTCAGCCTTATTCTAAGTACCATCACAAAAGGAGGTAAGCAGCACCCCTTGCTCTACTGCAGACTCCAAAACATGGCATGACTAATTTGGAGAATTTTCTCCCTAAGGCATTTTGATAACACTCTTAAGTGATTTCTTACTTATTCCAAGGTGTCTTTCTTCTTGCTCTGTGGAGTCATTCCCAATCTTCCCAAGCACAAATAATTGTGATTTGAGTCTCCTTGGCTGTGTGTCCATGCCTCTATTACAGCACTTTTGATATCCACTGTAGTTACTTGTTTTCAAGCCTGTATCACTGCTAGAGTGAAATGAGCTCCATAACAGCAAAAATAGTCTTACAAACTCATGCATGCTTGACACCTAGCAAAGTATGTGGTAAACAACAGGTACAGTACAGAAGTTTCAACCTGAGTGAATATGTGAACTGCCAGATAAAATAGTCTGTTGGCTAAACATGTGCAGAGGCAGTAAAAGAATTATTTTGTGAAAGGATTCATTGGTTTTACAGACCTCTGTTTCTTGCCTACATTTGCTGTCCACTCTTAATTTTACCACCAGAGAGTGACACCCATTCGTCTGTCTCACCTCTCCCTCTAAACATGGATATTCTATGGCCCTTTGGGGTAAGGTTGCAGTATTACATATTATGATTAGGAGACAAGCCCAGATTCAGACAACTCAATGGGGTGTGGCAGGTAGGTGCCGGCTCACGGAGAAAACCGCTGCTTCAGGTCTGCGCACAGGTAACAGCTTCACTAACAGACCTTAGGAAGCTGTGCATTTAATAAGGAGGAAGTCAACATAGATCGGCAAAGGTTGGAGGGGAACTTGGAAATTATTATTATTATTGAGACGGAGTCTTGCTCTGTTGCCACGCTGGAGTGCAGTGGCGCAGTCTCGGCTCACTGCAACCTCCCCCTCCCGGGTTCAAGCAATTCTTCCGCCTCAGCCTCCCGAGTAGCTGGGACCACAGGCACGTGCCACCACGCCGGACTAATTTTTGTATTTTTAGTAGAGACGAGGTTTCACCATATTATTCCTTTTTTTTTTTTTTTNTTTTGAGATGGAGTCTCTGTCACCCAGCATGAGTAGCTAGGATTACAGGTGTGTGCAACCACACCCAGCAAATTTTTGTATTTTTAGTAGAGACAAGGTTTCACCATGTTGGTCAGGCTGGTCTTGAACTCCTTACCTCATGATCTGCCCACCTCGGCCTCTCAAAGTGCTGGGATTACAGGAATGAGCCAGTGTGCCTGGCCTTAAAATTATGGTTTTTATAAAATATTAAAACCTGTGATGACAGGAAACGAAAAGGTAACAAATTCTATTTTGTTGAAGATAGATTAGAAAACTGACTGACAAATAACATTAGTTCTTTTGGAAGAATGAAATACTGAGCATCACTCTTATGCCAAACTGAAGATGTACAAAAGCTATGAGATTGGTCCTTATAGAATCGTGTCTTGATTCCTTTATTTTTTGAGACAGCATTTTGCTCTGTTCCCCAGGCGTGGTGCAGTGGTACAATCATGGCTCACTGCAGCCTCAACCTCCTCAGCTTAAAAGATCCTCCTACCTCAGCATCCTGAGTAGCGGGGACTACAGGCACATGCCACCATACCTGGCTCATTTTTTTATTTTATCTGTGTGTGTGTGTGTGAGAATACAGGGTCTCGCTATGTTGCCCAGGCTGGTGAACTCTGGGGCTCTAGCGATCCCTCCACCTCAGCCTCCCAAAGTTCTGGGATTATAGGTGTGAGCCACCATGTCTAGCCTTGACCCTTTTAATGGTTTAGTGACACTTTAATAGTATTTAACATTGAAATTTTGGTAATCTAACTGCTGATCCAGACATGTTTACTGAGGTAGTAGCCTTGTAGTCCACTGAGATGGGGTGGTAAGGGTGTGGTTTGTGGAGAGTAAAAGGTGAGAGGTTTGGGAAACACTGGGGAGAAATTCTGAAGTATAAGCATAAACTATTTATGATGTATAACCGGGGGGAAAGCATGTGACAGTTCAACCTACCATAGAATACAAAAGTGAATTTGCTGTGCTTTGCTGTGTATAGAGAGAGGCTTTAGGAAAAATGTGAAAATAAAGAATTGTTTAAGGCAACAAGCTCTGTAAATATCAAAGAAAGAAAAACTGATTGATATTCACACAAACATACAGTGTGGCAAACAACTACTATTTACCTGTTCTTTCAGTCACATGCCAATGTAAACAAATAGATAGCAGTCTATTTGGGAGTGTCTAGTAGCAGTGTATGTATGTATAAAACTAGCCATTTAAGATTCAAAAGTTTTAATATTGATTATGAAAAACTTTATTTTCAAAGGATCTTAAGACTTTTATTGCTATTAAACAGCAATACTTCTATTTTTTATAAAGGTTTAAAGTTTTTAAGCAAGTTTGTAAATTTTAATTACAGATGATGTCTGTGCTGTTTTGAAGCTCGATAATACTGTGGTTGGCCAAACTAGCTGGAAACCTATTTCCAATCAGTCGTGGGACCAGAAGTTTACACTGGAACTAGACCGGGTAAGATAACTAACATTTTACTTGAATTTTAATTATAGTTATAATTCATCTTAAATGTAAGTTACATTTTTTAGAAGGCTTCAACAAGTCTTATTCTTAAGAATAAAAATAGATCTTAGATATTTTTTACATTTCTTATTCAATGAATTATACATAAATCTACCTTAATATATAGGTGGATATCAAATAGCTGTAGGAGCGTTCATTTGTGTAGTAATTTGAAAATGTTTCGTTCATACCAACCTGAAAAATCAGTTAGGTATAATATTGAAGTATATTTGTTATCTTAATAACATGCTGACAACTAAGGTGATTCTTCTGGCTCACCATGTGTAGGTTACCTTACTTGACCTATATTTGAAATGAGCTTTTAGGCTTTTTCACCCAGGCTTCTGTGTGTTTCAATGTCTTTCAAGAATAATTTGAATAGCTAGAATTCAGTTTTTGGCCATAGAACCTAACAGAAGTTAACTTGTTCCACAGTAGATTTAAATCCATAGTGATAACTTTTAGATTCAAATCCATTCATTGGATTGTGAGAGGAAAATATTAAAACTTAATCATACTTTTATCTAAAAACTAAGAAAGATACTAAACTTTTTTATTATTTGGTATTTAGGTTGAGAGTATATATATTATTCTAAAAATTAATTATGTCAATAAAAGCAGATTTACAGTGCTTAATGATGTGTGCTGTGAAAATGTTTTGGTGATTACTTTTCTAGCCTCTACTTTTAAAATTGGGAAAACATTCAATTTTAATTATTTCCCAATTTTAAAAGTAGAGGCTAGAACAGTAATCACCAAAACATTTTAAAAGCATTCAATTTTAATGCTTTTCCAATTTGTCTTTTACTGTCTTCACAGCCAGCAACCTAGTTCAGACCCTTATTGTTGCTTTCCTTGGTTCAGATATTGTGTCTACCACTTAGATATTGTAATGTATTTGAACAAAATGCTTACAGATGTTACGTTGTATGTAAGTGAACAAAATGCTCACCCTTTTATGTATTCCACTTTCCTTACCTTTAATACTATCTACTTCACTGAGATGTGTGAGGATTAAATTTACGTAAAAATCTTAAAATAATGGTAAGAACTTGATTAATGTCAGCTGTGTTTTTTTTGGTTTCCCCCCCCCCCCGAAGTAATCTAATCTTCCATATATCTAAGTACTAGACTGATCTTCAAAGAACACTACTTTTATTCTGGCATTCATTCTTAGATTTAGACTCATTCGTTTATTCGTTAAACTATATATTTGTTGATACCTTCTGTGTATCCTGGCACTTCCAGGTGGTAGATTAGCAGTGAATAACATAAACAGTGTTTCTCAGGCTCCCTCAAGGAATGTACACTTCATTGATTATTCAGTATATATTTGATTACTTGCAAACATTTTACTATTGCATCAAAAAAGAGTCTGCTACCTCATTTCCTAGATATACCTTTATTTTGATGATTTCAGTTTAAAAGATATTGAGGACCTTCTAGGACTTTCCTAGGATTTGCTTGAAGAAAAAGTCTGAGGGAGGAGAGACTAAAAGCATGTAAATTGACAGAAAGTTACTCTAGTGGTACAACTATAACATGATAAAAGCCTGAACTAAGATGTGGTCGTAGTAATAAAAAGAAAAAGATTTATTTGGGAAATTAAGGAAATATCAGTATGACTTAATAACAAATTGGATATGAGTTCAGAAAAAGGAATTTGTCATTAGTGGCAGAGAAAATGATAAAGAAATTTAGAAATTAGAAAAGATAACTAGAAACTAGTTTTAAGTAAAACTAGTTCATTTACTGAAATATAAATGCAAATATTTTATATTTGAAATATAAATATTTTATATTATGAAATGCAAATATTTTTATTATAAATAAAATTAACAATATTTTTATAATATTGTATATATTATATAATAATTATTTCATAAATAAAAATATTATAAGTTCTAGAAGCTGTCTCTCAATAACTAATTATTTCACACTTAAATGAAGATATGGAACCCAGATGTTAAGGCTGCATAAGTGCAGTTAGAGGTCATTTGATTGGAAGTCATAATGAATACCATTCAAGTGGATAAGATAAATCCATTTATTTCTACAAATATTTATTAAGCATTTTATATATGCCTAACATTTTACTAGTTCTAGGTTTACAGAAATAATATATACTCATTGTATAATGGAACTTTTAGGCTTAATAATTACTGATTTTATGTTCTGTGCTATATGCCATTTTAGATGCTAGTGATGATTGATCAAAATAATGAAAGTCTATAATTGTGGGACTTTTATCTTCTAAAGAGGGAAGATAAATAGTAAACAAGTTTAAAAAATCTACATGTGCACCAAACGAAGTACAATGATGTAACGGGAGATGGGGTACTTTAGATGGGATCAGTAGGGAAAGTCTCCCGGGGAGGCCACATTTGACCTGAGACCTTGTGGGTGAAAAGTCACCAGAGTTGCAAAAATTCAGGGAAAGTTTCCCTGCAGAGGAGACAAACATACTAACTATTTGAGGTAGGACAGGCCTTGATGTATTGCAACAAGAAAAATGATGAGATGTAAGAGTGGTGTGAAGTAAAACATCAGAAGCAGGTAGGTGCCAGATTACTGTGGATTTTGTAGCTTTGAATTTGCAAGACATTTGAAAGGTTTTGTTTGTTTGTTTGTTTGTTTTTATTTATTTTTTTGAGACAGGGTCTGGCTCTCTTGCTCAGGCTGAAGTGCAGTAGCGCAATTACAACACACTGCCTCTTTGACATCCTGGGCTCAAGAAATCCTCCCACCTTAGCCTCCCTAGTAGCTGAGACTACAGGCAGACTGGGGTGTTGCTATGTTACCCAGGCTGGTCTCGAACTCCTAAGTACAAGCCTCCGTCCTGCCTCGCCCTCCCAAAGTGTGGGGACTACAGGTGTGAGCCACCGCACCTATCCTTGAAGGGTTTTTAATAGAATTTTAATCCTCTAATTTACCTATTGTAATTGTTCTGATAGAAATAAGTACTACATACTATAGAAGCTAATAGAAAAATCAGTAACTCATAGGGAAAGAGTTTATAAAGAAAGAAAACAAAGGTTCAACAAACACATTTTAAGTAGTATTCCAGAGGTATGACAAGAGAAAAAAAGGTTTGCCAAGAATTAGAAAGCTTTGAGTTGCATCAGATCATAGTTAGAACATTATATACACTTATCCAGTGAATAATTGCCAGAATGGTGGTCTGAAAATCCTGTAACATAGGGAAAAATTAAGGGAAGAATGGGATTTTAAGCTTGTTGAAGAAGAGGTTTAACAAAAATTTGGTAACTATCCTTAAAGTTAGAAGGAGTAACACATGGAGAAAGAATTAGACTAGGCATGAGGTTTCAATACGTCTGCCAATTCTTACTGATTGGTTGTGACTTTCTGGAACTTACTCTTAGACATACTTCCTTAGTGGATCGTGGTTGTTAGAGATTACTCTGAACAAATAGCAATGTCCCGACACTTCGGGAAGCGTCATGTTCTGTTTTTAGGTTGACTTCATGACTATAAAGGACAAAGCAAAAGTCAACAAATGGCAGATTGCATTTCAGTACAAAGAAGAATAATACTGTTAATAATTGAAAAGATCTTCTATAAGAAGTAGCAAGTTCTCTTTCAGTAAAGTTCAGTAAGTCAGTTACAAGAGAGACCGAGAAATTATATCAGAAAATTGTTACGTTTCTAAGTTTCTTTTTAACTCCGAGATTTTCTTCTTAAGGAGAACTAGGGTTATCACATGCTATAAAATAACTGTTTTACAAAATGAACTGTATAAGTAGATATTTTATGACGATAAAATGTTTGTTTCAGCTTTCACTCATTTTTAATAAGGGTAATAGGTTTGCCATAACATTGACCTTGAAGCCAGATAGACTGAGTTCATAGCTCATCTGCTGCTTATTGGTTTTTTGGTGGTGGGCAAGTTACTACTAGGCATTTGTTTTACCATCTCTAAAGTGTAGGTAAGAACATAATACAGAACTGTTAGGATGAAGAACTGAGGGTAATGTATGTAAAATACCTTGCATTGCCTGGCATATTTCAGCCATTGGTATACTTTCTTTTAGCCTGGGTTTTTAAGTATGGCTATAAATTCGAATATAATTAAAGGCGATTTGAGAATGGAGAACTGGTTGAATGTCATTTTCTTTTATTTCAGAGCCTATTTAAGATAATTATCTACAGACCACAGTGCTTGAATTATTCGTGTTAAAAATTAATAAAAAATAAAAAAGATAATTATTGAGTAATATGTTCACAATGAAACTTAAATAATTATTGTTAGAGGGAAAATGACTAGCTAGGAGATTTTCTCTTTTTATATTTAAAAGAGAAATTACAAGTAATTCAGAATATTGCCATTATTTTGTAGTTGAGGAAACTATGATCTAGGTTAGTTACATATTAATACATTTAGGGACTGGTACTAGACCTTCAGTGTCTTAACTTTTAAATGTATGTCCTTTTCTCTCTGGTGATTTGAATGAGATAAAAAGATAACAGTAGCACAGAAGAGGAAATAGCAGATGATGATGAGTGCCTGGAATAGAAAATATGGCTTTAAACTACCTAAACTCTACAAGCTTAGAACAATAAAAAGACTGTGGTAACTGTTGATTGTTTGTTCTTTACTTGCCATTGTAATCTTCACCTAAAAATATTTTTCCTCTCAATGGCATCAGGCATTCTTCCCACTTGGGAGTAATCCTCCTTTTAAAATTTTGAAGACACTATGCATGTTAAGATCCTCTAGGTTCTTGATAGGCTTGTTACTGATCCCTAATTTGATTATAAACTTTTCCTTCACAGAGACCACATTCCCTATTAAAATAGCTCCTTCTGTTCACATAATATATTTTACATTTTCATGTGCTTCCTGTCATTTTATTTTATCCCTTTTATTTATAGAAAATATTTATAAAAACATTTATAGAGGGAAACATTTCAAGTGGCCTTAGTTTAAAAAA